TTCGCCGTGATCTCCTCTACCACCTCCACCTTTCAGTCGGTCCATTTGAATCTTGGTAAGGGTGAAATCGCCATTTCTTCCACGGCCGCCATGGCGGGACCTCGCCGGAGTTGGCGCTCCACGCGGCCAACTGTCACCGCGACCTTCCCATCCCTTCTCTCCTTTGCGCTAGCTTCTGTGAATGCTACTGAAGCTCATAGGGTCACCCACTAGGGCAGTGGCACCGTCGTCTCGCCGGAGCCGGCCATGCCGTGGCCATGCGCCGCCATGACCGTCGCCACCCCCTTTAGCTGCGACAATAGCTTCAATAGATGGCACCGTTAGATGCGCATTGATGAGGCTAACGCCGTAGCACCGCTGGACTCACCGGAGATGCCACCGGCGACGCGTTGCGCCGCGGTCTCTTCTTCCTCCCCTGTCTGTCTCTCTGTCGGGCGGGTCCCGTATGTTAGTCGCTGCAGCGGAGGCAGGAGCCAGCCTGGGCCACGTCGTGGCTGGGCTGCGCTTGCGCATGCGCTGTGGGCCGCCGGGTCTCTTCGGGCCGGCTCAGTAGTAGTTCATTAGGGTTTCAAATTGTTTTGTTTTATTCTTTTCACAGATTGGTGTATAGATTCAAAAATATGTATCTCCTAGTTGGTAGATTCAAATGATGTGGTTCCAATTTTGCTGAGTTCATGATAATGTCTAGTTTTTATTAAAAATATAATTTATGCTATGTTCTGTTATGAAAAATAGAGTTGTTAATTATCTCTTTTAATCATGAAAGAAATAGGGGTAATTATATCTTTTTCTATGTAGCTCCAAATGGCATGAAATTTTTATGGTGTACTGCTCATATCATGAATAGCTTGTAGTTAAATTTTCATATATTTTGGACACTGTATGTAGGAGATAGAAAATTCTCTTGTTTGCATGGATGGGTCTTGTGTGAATTTTCATAATTTTTCTATAGATCCAGTAAGGGTAAAATTTGGTGAGTGCTGTTCTTATACTAGAATGATGCTAGGAAAAATGAGAAATCTGTTGATTTACACTTTTCAATAGGGTTTCCTAATTATGCTAAAAATAGACATGCCACCTGTTATTTTGGATACAGCAAGTTCTGCTTGCCTAATGGCTTTGAAATTTTTATGGTAGTCTATGTGAAGCATGAGATAGCTACTGTAAATTTTGTAGATTTTTCTGAATAGTTTTACTATATATTGCTTTAATCACCTAATTAACTAAATAAATTAGAAAAGGATATTAAATAATTTATTTAGAAGTTGGCACTATACTTTCTAATGTTCCTCTGGTATGCACAACAAGTTGGTAAACTTGGTTTGGTCCAATTAGGCTTTTGCATCATCACTAAATATTTAATTTAGCAACCCTATCATTTCTAGACAGATTCTAGGTTTACTGGAATTCAATTTGGTTAACGTAAGAATCATGCTTTGATGTTTACAAATGATTTGTAGAGAATTTCATAAGCTTTCCAGAATATCCTCTTGCAAGTCATTTGAATCTATAGAACTCTGGTTATGATTGAATTAAGGAACTACCCGTGTACATATGAAACTTTAACTGTTGTTTTAAGTATGCCTTTACTATTTCTAAGTTTGTGGTAATGTTCCTAGGTGTTAGGCCTTTAACTGAAGATGAGCATCTTTATCTTAGGTTATGCAAGTTAGGTAAGTTGATCTCGCTCTTCAAGTTAAGTTAGATACACGTTTTAAAGTGATTTGAATAGAGCTATTCTTAATCGGTAAACGAGTGTCCAGTGATGTTTTCATTAAACACTTACTATGATTCATTCATCATGAGCATCATGTCATTCCTTATGCATCCATGATGTTTATCTTGTGCTTCGGCATGCAATAGGTGTACCGGAAGGAGTGACCCTGCTGGAATTCGAGGAGCCGAGCGAGGAGCAGCAGCAGCCCAACACCGGAGGTTCAGGAGGTGCAGCCTTCAGGAGAAGTGCCAGACAAGGTCGCCGTTGAGTGCCCGGATCACCGTCCGTGCAACTTTGTGAAAGGCAAGCCCCGGAGCATATTAAGCCTCCTAATTTCCGAAATACAGTTAAAGTATTATTGTTGCATATATATATTGTTGCATTAAGTTTAGGTGTTGGATGCAAACACTTGCTGCATTGATTATCCAATCCTTGTCCAGATATTGATACCCTGAATCCTATGTAGTTCAGGTTCGTGTAGTGCTTAGCCCTGCTTAAACACGGTAGAAGTCAGGTGATTTCCTGTCACCTGCGAGATATAGGAAGATACATATGGCACGGTTGGCTATATTTGCTATCGTGGAAAAGAACCGGTCTTAATTTGAAATGAAGACCGGACGGAGGCTTGCCGATTTGCAGTGACTCCGTCTGTGTCGCTTAAGGACTGAATCTTGGAGCATTTCCTGTTCATGTTGAACGCATGCCTCTCTCTTAGTTGGCCGGGTCTGGAGACCGACCACGAAGCCGAGTAGCCCACCTCAGGCCGGGAGTCGATAAGTATAAAGTGCGCCTCGGAAGGGAGCCGTAGGCGTGAGTCCAAGGGCAGGTGATTTAAAAGTCCTGATCGTCCTGGCAGAAGGGTAATCCCTGAGAGTGCTGGCGCTAATCGAACCCGCAAATTTGGTTCCTGAGTTGTCCCAAAGGTGACCCACGGCTACCCTTGCAAAGTATGCCAGGGTGAGAGTTAGGAATACCCCCTCAGCTGAGTTGTAATTCGATTCGAGTCGCCGTCTCTCCCGGTTAGTGAGAACTTGACGGGCTTATCTCCAAAGTAGATACACTAAATAACATAATGGTTCAGAAATGATGATATGATGATGACAGCCTTATTATACCTGCTATGGTTAATATATTCATAAGCTCTTTTATGCAACTGTGTCCAGCGAGCCTACCTCATAAGCCTTGCATGATCCTTGGTGTCTGTTATTTCTGGTTTTGTCGGGTAAGTCTAGCTGAGTACCTTCTCGTACTCAGGATTTATCTCCCACCTGTTGCAGGTGACCAGTTCTACTTTGGTTGCTGCAAGTATTGCCTTCTCCTGGCTGGGGATGAAGATTAGACCGTTGGGCACGGTCTCTCCTAGTTCTCGTACCTAATAATGCTTTTGTGGGACATGACTAAGATCTGACAATGTATTTGAAACTATGAAGTTATGTACTAAACTATGTTGCTTTCGCGGATTTTAACTTGGTTTGCAATATTTTATTTGAACTCTGATGGATGTAATCCGATTGCTACTTGTGAAAAGTTGTAACGAATGATGTGTTGTGTTGAATCACTACGGTCTTGGTTTGTATGTCGAGAGTTGGTTGAAATCCTTTGTGATTTCCGGACTACCGGGATTATGGGAGCTTAAGTACAGGAATTTGATCACTTCGGTGATTGTTTTTGTACTTACATTCTTATGATTTGGTCGGTTCTGTTACAACTATGACTTTTTTTGTTTATCCATTTTAGTATGTATCTAGACATAATATTATATCTAGATGCATAGCAAAATGGATGAACCAAACAAGTCAAAGCGACTTATAATTTGGAACAGAGAGAGTACTTGTCCGTAGGTCTATTTCCACGTGTGCCTTGATTGTGTCCGACGGGGAACAATAGCATGTAGGAATGAAAATTTGTCTTTTCTTGGTACATTAATCCAATAAAAGGTATAACTTTGAGATGTTATGCACTAGCTAGAGAATGTATATTGTCACTTGGCTTGAGATGTTAGTTACTTTTAAAGCTATCATGGAACATACTAATATTGGATGAAGATAAAGTGTGTATTAAAGTTATAGAGCTCGAAGATATTTAGAACTTTGTAGTTTGTGCGATTTTTTCATTCGAAATCATTTAAAGTCCAAAAATTATATTTCAAGTTCTCAAAATTTAAAATTATTTTTATGAACGACCTAGGATGGAGATACGACAAACCAAAGTTGTAGTACTCAGCAAGATCTAAAACTTTTCAGTTTAAAGTTTTTTCAATTAAAATTAGGGTCTCAAATATTAATTACAAGATTCACTAAAGTGAATACAAAAGCAAAGAATCGTCATTTCGTCATAAGTAACTTTGGGGTGTAGTGGTAGGTGAGGTTCACATAAAATCTTAGGTTTCAAGTTTGATTCCCAACTGCACACGCGTGATGGGATTCTCCCAGAAGAGTTTTTTTTTTGCTATATATCCTTGGTGGTCAGTACAAATACCTTAGGGGTCGGCCCACAAGAAAATATCTATCCTTAGTGGTTTTAATATTTCGTTGATGCTGCGAAAAAATGATGTCATTGTTTCCTTCATATTGTGAAAAATATATATCATTTGTTGCCGCCGGCCTTAAGGTAATTGAATTTCCCTTATCTACTCTTAGCCCGGCCTTAAGGTAATTGAATTTCCCTTATCTACTCTTAGCGATGCTTTTCTTGAGGGTTGCGTGCCAGGAATAATTTCCTTGGCCCTGTTTTCACAGTTTCTTTGAGTTTTTTTCGCTCTTAAGGCTATTCTACTATTCTGTCTTGTGGTAGTGTTTGATGTTTTGGAACGTGTACACACGATATATAGATGTGTTTACATGTTGAAATACCAATTTTATACAACAAGATACCTCTAAGGTCTTGTGGCTCCCCTCTAATCCATCTTAATCCACATGTATTGTGGTGGATTGATCGAGCTGAAAAACTTGTTAATTTTCCACCCCCAATCCACCTTGTTATATGTAGATTGGGGTGGATTGAAGTGCAGTAAGTCATTGTCAGTAATTAGTTAGTCTGGTGCTCGCTGATTGTGTGTGTAGCATTCACCTGTCTTGTTGTCACCGGCAGCGTACAGATCATTGGTGGTGTTGGTGTAGGAGTAACCAACGCCGGCTGGCGAGTCCAAGAACAGCACGTTCGCCACTACAAGCAAACCAATCCATCCATCGTCACCATGACAAACATGAGTAGATAACAAGCTAGCTTTACTTGAAAAAAAAAAGAGGCATCGAGACTGGACCTTTGTTCCAGGCGTAGGGATTCAAGGAGAGCGTCGCGCCGTCGGGGTTGACTCGGAAGGCGCCGAGCTCCTCCATAGCGCCGTGGCGACAGAGGAGCACCCGGGCCCGCCATTGAGCCAGAGCACGAACGGCGCGGAGTCCGCTGGCACGCCGGAGGCTTCCATGAGCCAGTAGAAGAGCGCGCGCCCCGCGGCGGCGTCGACCGTGACGTAGCCCGAGTACATGGAGAAGTTGACCGGCGGCTGGCCCGGCAGTCTGTCGATGCGGTCCGACTCCGCCGCTGCCGTCACCGTCGTGGTGGTGGCTGCAGTGGTGGCGTACGCGGCACAGCAGCAGCAGGACATCGCCAGTATGGCGGCCAGGACAGTGGCGGCCGCCATTGGCGCTCGCAGGGGAGTCAGTGCTGGACTGATTGGGGAGAAGAGCTGCAGAGCAACAACACTTGTACGAGGAGTGGACAGTGAAGGCCTAGAGGCATGGATTTATGGAGGCCAGGAGCAAGTGAGCCAATTATGGCGCCGCCGGGCGGGGGAAGCTTTGTGGAAAGCATGCACAGGTGGTTGGTTGGGTCTTGTGGCCTTGCTGTTTCGTTATCTCGATTCTGATTTTTATTTTTAGTAACATCTCGATTCTGAATGATTGCCATGATTCTTTCTGTATGTACGTATCCTTAGACTGTCTTCAACAATACGTACCCAAGCCGAGACCCATTCACTGATTTAGGTCACGCACAGTAGCCCGACTCCGGCACCCAGAACGGGTCTCTCCAACAGCGTATGCAAAAGTCCTCGCCAACCACCGCCCGCTCCACATCAGCCTCTCCTCTCTTTCCCTTCTCTCGGCGACTGGCGAGGAGCTGAGGAGAAGGACGAGCAGGAGGAGGCAGAGAGCATACCAAAACGAAACATCCGCCACCAAATGCTCCAAAGAAACCCATCAATGGCGGCTCAAATCCCGCGTAGGACGACCATGCCCGCGAGTCCGCGACCAGAACCCGCAGCGGACCCCACCCCCACGGTCCCTGACGCCAGCCCCCGCCGCCGCAGCACCGTCGCCAGCACAAGCGTCCGCAATCCGACGCGGCGCGGCGGGGCGGGGAGAAGGGCCGGGTGGCCCCGGGAGAGCGCGGATCTGAGGACGACCATCGCTCGAGAGCCGATCCGGTGCCAACCGCGGCGAACTTCCTCATCGCTGCTGCTTCCTCGGCGTCGCCGCCCCGTCCTGCTTCTCCCCCTTTGTTTCTCTCTCTCCCTCCTCCTCCGACGGCGGACCGCATCCGTGCGAGCGGCGGCCCACAGTGGAGGTGCAGCCGCATCCGCCGGCTCAAAGGAGGAGTCCTCCCCGCTGTGGTCCGCCTGACCGCGCTCGAAGGTGGAGGAGCAGCCGCGAGCGCAGGCGAGCGGGGTCGACACGGGCGCGGCGGCTCTGCCGCCGTTGGCGAGCGGTGCCGACGCGAGCAAGCGCGAACGGGCGGGGCCGGCGGCGCGGCCGGTGCGGGAGCGGGCCACCTCGGCGTTGCGGAGGCGTGCGCGGGCGGGCCACCATCGGAGATTTGCGTACCGAGGAGAGAGGAGATGCTTTTTTGCCTATCATTTCGGACGGCAGGCAAAATGGGTCGTATGTCTGGGTCAGCCGTTGGAGTGTGTTTTTGGTAGGCAAAATCACTATAGAGGACATATTTTGGGTTTGCATTTCGTTATTGAAGATAGTCTTATATATAGATAACATTCGTGCCGTCCGTCCCGACCCAGCATGGGCCCAAGCCAGGCACGGCCCGCTAGCACCGGGCCAGACACGGCACGCCGGGCCGCCGGACCGTGCCGAACTGGGCTTCATGCCTGGCCAAGGCACGTCACTACGGGCTCTTTTCGGTGCCGGCTCGGGCAAGAAAAGCATGACCAAACTGACGGGTCGAGCCAACCCGAGGCCCACTGAATGCCGACGGAGAGAAACAGAGAGAGAGAGGGGGGAGGCGAGGCCAGGGCGGTGAGGCCGCAGCTATGCGAGGTTACAAGCCACGAGAGGTCCTTCAGCGCGGTCGAGGCGGTCCTTCCGTGCCGGATCCGCTCTAGACTGGACTCGCGGAGGACGCGCCGCTACGTGGAGGCGTGGAGTAAGGACAGTTGCGGCTGGGAGTTAGGTAGCGCAGCAGAGACGAGGGGTGGAGAGGTGGATGGCGGGTGTCACTGTGCGTCCGCGCGCATCGTCGAGGTTCGAGGGCGAGGCACCGTGAGTCCATGACGCGAGGTTGGTGGGGTTGCCAGGTGCGTGCCATGGCGGGGGCGGGCGGTGAGGGGGAGGATAAAGCGTAAAATGACATTAATCTTGGAGTGAAGTGGGTCCTGGGTGCTAGCCGCAGCACACTTCTCTTCTTCACCAGGTATTATGATATATTTACCGAGTCGTGCTTGGCACTTGGTGTGCCTGGGGCCCTTTGTATCGGGCCGTGCTTGGGCCGGGTCAAAAAAAAAAAACAGACTTCGTGCCGGGGCACCAGGCTGCGGGCTACATGCACGTCTACACGTATCCTGAGCCATGCCCGCTTCCTTGCCAAGACAGACGCGACAGTTCCGCATGCAAATTTGAACGTGCATGAAAGAGAGGATATAAGAGGGACGAGTACGAAGGTTGGCGACGATTTGCAGCGTCGCGGACCGCGCGGTACGTACGCCCTTCTGACTATCTACGCGACAGCAATGCGTCCGGCATGTGATTTGTGGGGTCGTCTGATATCGTACGTGAGTGATGATGGCCAGCAGCCGAGATCGAAAGCGAGCGTGGGACGGAACGAGGCACGGAGCTATCAGCTAATGGACCCATGTGATCTAGTCGAAAGGACTGTGGGAGGAGTTTTGTGATCCGTAGAGTTTCTAGCTCGTGTTTAGTTTGCTGAGTGGCGAGCAATCCTTTGTCATCTTACTAAACTGGAGTCTGATACTTTATTTTACTAGATGCTGCTTAGTTTGTCGAGTTTGCTCTTAGTTTGTTGAGTTTCAACCTGTGAGTTGAGCTTAGTTCGAATTCTTTTAACCGTGTTGGCCTACATTGTAATAAGCTGGTAACCCAAACAGTGACTATTGGCTTTCGTTAGGCTTCCAATAAAGCTGGATGAATGTCTTCGGTCTAAAAAATAAGTTGATGGCCAGGAAGATGAACAATCTAGCTCCATGTAGTAACTAGTAGCTAGTAAGCATGGAGCTCTCGGTGTTGTGCTGCCAATGGCGTGGCACACTGCGGAGCATGTGGTCCTGACAGGGCACGCTCGTGAGAAACAACTAACTAGGTGAAATTTGGACGTAGATTTAGAACGAGAAAGGGTCAAAGGGATATGAAACTTAGACAAAGCAATAGGACAGTCGAGGGGATATTTTTAACCCCAAAATTTCACTCACACGGGGAGTTGGACCGGAAAACTGATAATCGTCAACTTCCTACCAAAATCCAATTGCATTTAAAGCGTTTGGTAGACATCCGCAAAATCCGCTCCAAATAAGCTGGGAACAGAGCTCTACCAACCTTGCCATTACAACTTCTGGAGCAACCACTATCGATCTTCCAACGTGAAAGTGTGCCAAACTAGGTGCTATAAAAATAACTCGAAAGGAAAGATACAATCAGCTCATTCTAGCGAGCAACATTTTATTCTGCTTATTTTTTTCAGAAAGTCACTCATGAAACAAATTAAAAGGGGCGCGACGTTTGGCCAACGTCGATTATTGATTGGACAGGTGGAATCTGTGAAGATGGATTGCCAAGTCCGGCCATATTATCCATATCAAGCCAAGCGAGACAACAAATTCTAGTATGACTGGACACTCTCAACAGGCTTGGGCATGGGCACGTCTCGCAGGAAGTGCTCAAAGAGCTTCAGGGCCTGCCGTGGACGGTGGAGGGGAACCTCATGACCTGCACCTCGGACCGTCACCAGCGTCAAACCCTGATACACTTGGCACCATCCACCAACCTGCAGATAAGCATGATCCACACCATTACAGACATGATTAGTGTATGTAGCTGAGAGGGCAATGGGACTGCCAGATTTTTTTTCGAAAGATCGGGACTGCCAGCTGATTTGATGCAGTGGTGGTGTCCCAGACTGACCTCTTTGTCGTAGTACCAAGGATACCACTTTGTGATCGTTGGTAGAGATAGCGCATCAATGGAGTATCTTGAAGCAGTGAGGGGGACGACAGAGTCTGTGTCGCCGCTGCCAAATTAAATTGACCAATGTAATAAGAGAAGATTAAAATCCACACTCATTTATTACCAACTCATTGCGACTGTCAAAGATTTAGGATTCAGAAGAAGCCATGCATGATCTCAACGACAGAAATCCAATGTACCTGAAGACCCATATCCCTAGGCCCGCCGAGATAAGTTCACGGTAAATAGGAAGCATGGACCCTGGTGAATCTTTCCAATATTCATATATTGGGTCACTGAAAAGATTCAGTGGAGTTTAGTGCAAATTATCAATAATTGACGCATAGTACTCTGGTATTCTAGTGGACCAAAATTAAACAAGATGAAAGCATTTGAGCAGACCTGCAGCCTATCCACGCATATGGTATTCCAGTAACATTGGCATGGAAAGCTTCCTGCACCTCGGGTAAGTTGTAGTAGTTTGTGGAGTACAGTTCGGTGCAGGGATCATATCCTCTGGGCAACCAGGGCTACATTTGAACAAATGTGCAGTCAATATGCATGAGCTCATAAATCTTAGAGAATATCACAATAATCAGAAACGTTTGGCCTTTAATTTGCTCACTCAAACCATACTCGTCAATATAACCATTAGATAATCTCTACCCTTTTTTTAAAAAAATTACACGCTTCTACCATTATAAAAAATACATAAAAGTACATAAAGTAACCTCTGCTTTGTATCTACATTATTACCTACCTACACCATTATAAAAGATAACATAAAATGTCTAATTAAATTTACATCTCACCCACATATATCGTTATAAAATATAAAGCAAATTAAGCCCTAAATTAGTTTTTACATTACCCACATATGCCTTTATGAAAGACAATATAAAATGAGACCTTTAATTTGTATCTAAATTAACAAATTTGTCGTTATAAAAGTAACCTAAAAATATTGCCAAATCTATGCTGAAATGCCAATAAAACCTATTGTGCAAAATAATTCAATAACCATAAAGTATGCTTTATATTAGAGTTATGGACTATATCTTATATAGTAAAAGCTATATGCACCTAAAAAAGAAAACCGTCTTAAAATTTGGAACCAAATGAGTACATTGTTTGTTACTAAATGATATAAACAACCATTTTAGCCTGCACCACAACACTCAAGACATTGACTTTGCTAGGCTGAAGAATCGTAATTGTAGTAATATTACTATGTAAAAACATAGAGTACCTAGAATTAAATCAGCAATATTTGATATGCCATAATGTTCTGGTCAAAACTAGTATTTGATACTGAGTATGTCATAATGTTCTGGTCAAAACTTATATATAGCATATAAGTAACAGCTTACATAATTTATTATCATTGGTACATTTTTTGTTTAGATTTTTCATAATTGATAAAGTTTTAAAATAAATATCTATCCTCACTTATGCTTGTTTACTTGGTCGGTGGCACATAGAGTTTATGCTTTACTTTTAATGTAACGACGACAGTGTGTGATTTATATAAGTTTTTAACAAAATATTAGATTTTTTTTTTGAATAAAAGATACAATAAGCACTAAAGTCACAACTTAACATGTGGAAAAATTGCTACAACTAATAAGATCACAAGTGAAAGCCAAAATATAGATTTGAAATCTCAAAAAATGGGATGCAACAAGACCTTATATAACTTAAGCAAAAGATGACAACATATATCTTAATATTGCTAACTGGAGGTCCAAAATGGAGACTCAATATAAAAATAAACCTTAGAAATTCTCATAATAACAAGAAACATTTATCTATTAATACACTCAATTTTAACCATCATAAATAATAATAACTATTCGATATACTTTATTTTCTAAATAAATATCCATTATTGTTGTAATGAAAACATAAGTAATCATAAAAACTACATCTAAACCACCAACTAAATACATATTAAAAACACACAGTGATGCAACGAATGAAAATACATATAAAATAATTGGTAAAGCTATCACTACTGAGTAGAGATCATACAGCATCTAAATGGGTATTCTATTACAGATTAGAGAGAGAGAGAGTAAAGATAATTACTTTGATTAGTTATACACACTAAATTTATCCACAAAATATTTAATACTTATGTAACTTAACATTCTAGGCCATGCTGGAGCACATGTTGATGAGCTACTATGAATAATACAGTAGATATCTACATAGTCAAAAGAACCTTAGGGAGAATACAATATACAAGACTACCATTAGCTATAAGTGAACCATGAATTTTGGTATCAACTCAAACATACCATTCTTCCCCTTATTTGCCTGCGCTTATGCAATGAAGTCTTATTACAAGTAGGCGTGTAGATGCTGTATGAATCAATATTCCCTTGCTCAGCCTCGGCAACTTCAAAGATTTTTTTACATTCCTCAGAGGGGTGCTCAGACACATCATATTTACAAGCCTCCCACAACTTCACATAAGTTTCATCGGAGATAAGCCCATGTGTCCACCAATACTCAAATGTGCCCTTGTAGTCATGGTAAACGTCAGTTACCGCATTTCCAACCTAGAGCATTGACCAAACACTTGGTTATTTCTAATTAATTATGGGACCATAATACAATATGAGCTCAAGAAGTTCTAACCATGAAGCCTTTCAAGTTTAAGGTTCCTTTGTTGTTTCGGTACACTACCTGAGACAGTTGAGGGACATAGTGGCCTGAAAAATAAATATCACACCAAATTATGCTGGAGGTACGGATATCTAATCTCTAGATACCATTAACCACACAATCTCTATCACATATGGAGTTAACAGATTTTTATGGTAGTTCACCGGCCTGCATAGCTCTCTCCAGCGATGTAGAAATCACGATACTTATACTGCGGGAACCGCTCCAGCCAATTTATCAAGAAAGCATAGGAGTCATGAGCTGCAGAACAACATTAGCAAGAAACATCCATAAGAGCAAGAGCAACAACACTTGTGAAAGTGAAAAGTATTTTGGAGAATCAAACTCATTTCTCATCGATATTGGAACATGTATATGTACACAACGTATAGATGTGTTTATAGGTTTTTGAGATATCAATGTCATACAACAGGACACAACAGATTACAAAATCTCCTATAGAATGAAGACTACTATCTAGGCTGTCTGTAGGTCTGTTTCCATGTGTGCATTGATTGTGTCTGACGGGGAACAACAACATGTTGGAATGAAATATAGTTTTTTCTTGGTACATTAATCCAACAAAAGGTAAAATTTTGAGTTGTTATGCACTAGAGAATGTGTATTAGCACTTAGCTTGAGATGTTAGTTTTAAAGCTAGCATGCAACATACTAATATTGGATGAAGACAGTGTCCATCAAAGTTGTACAGCTCAAAGAGATTTCCAACTTTGTAGTTGTGTGACTTTTTCATTCGAAATCATGTAAAGTCCAAAATTATGTTTTGAGTTCACAAAGTTTGAAATTCATTTTTTTAAAATTTGTTCCAAACGACCTCATATGGAGATATGACAAACCAAAGTTGTAGTACTTGACGAGATCTAAAAAATTTTAGTTGAAACTTTTTTCAGTTGAAATCAGGGTCTCAAGTAATCATGACAAGATTCACTAAAGCGAATACAAAAGCAAAGAAACATCATTTAGTCATAAGTAACTTTGGGGTGTAGTGGTAGGTGAGGTTCACGTGAAATCTTAGGTTGCATGTTTGATTCCCAACTGCACACATGCTTGGAAATTGTGTGATGGGATCAATTCTTCCACAAGGGTTTTTTTTCTATATATATATTTGGAGGACAGTACAAATACCTTAGGGATCGGCCCCCAAGAAAATATATATGCTTGACAATTGTCATATTTCCTTGACGCTGTGGAAAATTTTATCTCGTCTTTGTTTCCTTCATGTTATGAAAAATATATCATTTTTTACCATCAGCCTTCAAGGTAATTGAATTTCCTTTGATTTACTCTTAGTGATCCTTCCGTGAGGGTTGCCAGCCATGAATAATTCCTTGGTTGTTTTCATAGTTTCTTTGAGGTTTTTGGGGGCTCTTAAGGCTATTCCGTCTTGTGGTAGTGATTGATGTTTTCTACAACAAGATACCTCTAAAGCCTTGTTCAGCTGCACTGTAATCCACCTTAATCTACATGTATTGCGGTGAAAAACTTGTTAATTTTTCACCACCGGCCCAATCTACCTTGTTACATGTCGATTGAGGATGGTTGAAGTGTAGTACGTCCTCCGTTCCAATTTATAGGTCGTTTTGGCTTTTCTGGATCCACAACTTTTACTATGTATTTAGACATATCGTATATCTAGGTGCATTTCAAAAGATATGTACCTAGAAAACCCAAAACTGTTGGGACAGAAGGTGGTAAGTCATTGTCAGTAATTAGTTGGCCTGTTGCTCACTAACTGTGTGTGTTGTTGTATGTTGAATAGTACCATGGCGAATGACTATATGTATAGTAAAAAACTCGGGTTGCGAGGGGGTAAACACCCTCGAGCTATTTTATTAACTTAAAGGTAGAGGACTTCTCGGCCATCCCGAGAAAACCCCAGAATCCAATGCCCCGCCCGCAACCCCAGAATCCAATGCCCCGCCCGCAGACAGGGGCATGTTATCCGGTGAGAGAACCGGTCCATTTTACCTGCGGTTTGGAATTAAATTAAATGTGGGACGCCACCCGAAGGCTCCAGCAACCGTAGGCGACTATGTATAGTAGCCTAACAACAAGAATTGAATAGATGCAGTAAAGAACTAGAGAGATATCCACTCCGGCAATTCACCTGTCTTGTTGTCACCGGCAGAGTACAGATCGTTGGTGGTGTTGCTGTAGGAGTAGCCGACGCCGGCTGGCGAGTCCAAGAACAGCACGTTCGCCACTGCAAGCAAACCAATATAATCCATCCATCGCCACCATGACAAACATGGAGGATATAAAAACAAGCTACTATACTACTATACACCTTTCTTTTGGACAAACTATAGGCGAGTAGTGCGCAAAGAAAAGGGATTTTTTTTTAAAAAAAAAAAAGAGGCATCAAAACTGGACCTTTGTTCCAGGCGTAGGGGTTCAAGGAGAGCGTCTCGCCGTCGGGGTTGACGCGGAAGGCGCCGAGCTCCTCCATAGCGCCGTAGCCGACAGAGGAGCACCCGGGCCCGCCATTGAGCCAGAGCACGAGCGGCGCCGAGTGCGCCGGCACGCCGGAGGCTTCCATGAGCCAGTAGAAGAGCGCCCGCCCCGCGGCGGCGTCGACCGTGACGTAGCCCGAGTACATGGAGAAGTTGACCGGCGGCTGGCCCGGCAGCCTGTCGATGCGGTCCGACTCCGCCGCCGCCGTCACGGTGGTGGCGGCGGACGCCGCACAGCAGTAGGACAGGGACAGCACCAGTATGGCTGCCAGCAGGACAGTTGCGGCCGCCATTGGTGGTGGCGCTCGCAGGGGAATCATCAGTACGTGCCGGACTGGTTGGAGAAGAGCTGCAGAGCAAATATATACACGAGGGATGGGCTAAGCGAGAGTGAGCTGAGCCAATTATTGGAATGGAACGGAACGGAACGGGGGAAACGTCGAGACAATGCACGGGTGCGTGGTTGTTTGGGTCTTGTGGCCAACAGTACACTGCTGTTGTTGGGTTATCTCGGCTCTGAATGATTGCCACGATATTGTATTATTTGGTGGGCGGAGGGAGTATCTTGCTGGCAATACAGCTCCGCATACAAATTCGATCGTGCATGAATCGGGGACGAGGACGAAGGTTGGCGACGATTCATATATCAGATGGCTAGCTTATATACATACTATACATACTCCTATATGATTCATATAGTTGCATGCATATGCATGCTTGCTTGGTATATATAAGCATATATATGATCAGATCAAAAGCAAAACATGGAACTGATGATCAGATATCACTTGTAGCACCTGTTCGCTTGATCGTTTCTGTGGCTTATAAGCCGGCTGTTTGCGCTTAAGTTCTATGATCAATTGGTGTAACTGATTATTCATAAATAGAAATAGTTAAAATTAGAACAGTTATTTGATCATTTGTTTGCCTATTTTATTTTCTGTATGTTTTATTTGGTTCCCTTTTATAATTTTTCCATTTGGGTTCCAAAGAAATAATTTGACTATTTTTTTTTATTTTCTTTATGTTTTTATTTGGTTCTCCTTTGATATTTTACAATTTAGTTTACATAGAAATAATCTGACAATCTTTTTTGTTTTTATTTTGTGTATGTTTTATTTGGTCCTCCTTTGATATTTTTTAATTTTCCTTACACATAGAAATAATCTGCCTAAGATAGGAAGTGCGTGGTAAGTCAGGAATCCAGATAGAAAAACGTATTCTTTCGAGCAAAGCTGTGTGGAACAAAGAATTTTAAAAAAGTTCGTATACAGACAGTATTTAGAAAACAACGAAGGACCAAATGCATGATATCGTGCGTTTTCGAAGAAAAAAACAAACAAAAGGTCAATCGATATATGGGAGGGGACACCGAGCTAGCTGTAAAGCACAACACAGGATAACTTGGTACGGGGGAAAGACGTTGGAAACAGGAGCCCTCCATGCTGCTGTCCCGGCCATCCACAGAAAATCCTAGGCATTGTACAGTGGCCAGTGGCCACGCAGCAGCAGCAGCAGCAGCCTGCATCACCGATGCATTGTGGCCACTGGCACTTTACAATGCCCAGGATCTTATGTGGATGGCCGGAACAGCAGCATGGAGGGCTCCTGTTTCCAACGTCTTTCCCCCGTACCAAGTTGGCTTGTGTTGTGCTTTACATCTAGCTTCGGCGTCCCCTCCCATATCTCGATTTCCTTTTGTTTTTTCACTTGGAAAACGCATGATTTCATGCATTTGGTCCTTCGTTGTTTTCTGAGAAATCTTGAGCGCGGGATTTTCTTCCTTCATCATGGCCGATTCCCTCGTTTCTTTATTTCTTTCCCAACGCAAAGTGCGCAGTCGAGCAGCAGATAGAGAAGAGATGCGAGCTACTCCTACTCCATGAAAGATGCATGGTGCATGCATGTACTCTCTCACAGCATTTCAAACCTTTTTAGCAGTAGTACCACAGCCGCACTGTGCTCGAGCGAGCGAGGTGAGTGCCGTCTGTCCGTCCTTCCTTGGTGCCAATTCACTTCGCTCTGGGCAGGAATTGATGCATGCATGCTTGCTTGGTATATATAATAATAATAATGATCCGCGCAAGATCAGGGATGAAATCTTAGTACAGCGAGCGAGTTGCAGCAACATATACTATATATAATAATAATAATATAATACTGTGATCACGTTAAGACCTGCATGCAAGGCTTAACTGCTGCTCTAGCTCTACTACAGCGTGTGTACTACATCTTCCTTCTTCCTAGCTCTACAACAGTTAATGTCACATACTGGTTCAGATTCATTAACGCACACACACTATATATCAGATGGCTAGCTTATATACATACTCCTATATGATTCATATAGTTGCATGCATATGCATGCTTGCTTGGTATATATGATGAGATCAAAAGCAAAACATGGAAATGATGATCAGATATCACTTGTAGCACCCTGTTCGCTTGATCGTTTCTGTGGCTTATAAGCCGGTTGTTTGCGCGTAAGTTCTACGATCAATTGGTGTAACTGATTATTCGTAAATAGAAATAGTTAAAATTAGAACAGTTATCTGATCATATGTTTGCCTATTTTATTTTCTGTATGTTTTATTTGGTTCCCTTTTATAATTTTCCAATTTGGGTTCCATAGAAATAATCTGACTATTTTTTTATTTTCTTTATGTTTTTATTTGGTTCTCCTTTGATATTTTACAATTTAGTTTACATAGAAATAATCTGACAATCTTTTTTGTTTTTATTTTTTGTATGTTTTATTTGGTCCTCCTTTGATATTTTTTAATTTTCCTTACACATATAAATAATCTGGCTAAGATAGGAAGTGCGTGGTAAGCCAGGAATACAGATAGAAAACACATTCTTTCGACCAAAGCTGTGTGGAATAAAGAATTTTAAAAACTGTTCATATGTAGACAGTATATAGAAAACAACGAAGGACCAAATGCATGATATCATGCGTTTTCCAAGCGAAAAAAACAAACAAAGGGAAATCGAGATATGGGAGAGGACCCCGAGCTAGCTGTAAAGCACAACACAGTCCAACTTGGTATGGGGAAAGACGTTGGAAACAGGAGGCCTCCAGGCTGCTGTCCCGGCCATCCACAGAAAATCCTGGGCATGATACAGTGCCAGTGGCCACACTGCATCAGTGAGGCAGGTCTAGTTTAGATTGTAAATTTTTGTAATCTGGACACTATAGTACGTTTTATTTGTATTTGATAAATTTTGTCCGATCATGAACTAACTAGGCTCAAAAGATTCATCTTATGATTTACAACCAAACTGTGTAATTAGTTATTTTTTTACCTATATTTAATTCTCTATACATATGTCTAAAAATTTATATGATGGAAAGAGAGCGAAAAAACTTGGAATTTTGAGGTAATCTGAACAAGGCCGCAGGCTGCGGCTGCTGCGCTTGCACGGTGTGCCGCATCCGCGAACGACGTGACTTGTTTTAATTGCAGCGGGGCCGGCACACACTGCGCGGCACGTCGTCTGTCTGGTTCACGCGGGTGCGCCGTAGGAGAAGCACCTGCTCGTACCACAGTGCTGCCCTAGTGTAGATGCGCAGTGGCGACACGAGAGGCATCATGATGACAAATCTTGAACGCTGGATTTTTTTTCCGTCATCATGCATGTACTCTCTCACAGCATTTCAAACCTTTTTAGCAGCAGTACCACGGCCGCACTGTGCTCGAGCGAGCGAGGTGAGTGCCGTCCGTCCGTGGTGCCAATTCACTTCGCTCTGGGCAGGAATTGATGCATGCATGCTTGCTTGATATATATATTAATAATAATGACCCGCGCAAGATCAGGGATGAAATCTTAGTACAGCGAGCGAGTTGCAGCAACATATACTATATATAATAATAATAATATAATACTGTGATCATGTTAAGCCCTGCATGCAAGGCTTAACTGCTGCTCTAGCTCTACTACAGCGTGTGTGCTACATCTTCCTTCTTCCTAGCTCTACAACAGTTAATGGCACATGCTGGTTCAGATTCATTAACACACACACACTATATATCAGAAGGCTAGCTTATATATATACTCCTATATGATTCATATAGTTGCATACATATGCATGCTTGCTGGGTATATATAAGCATATATATGATGAGATCAAAAGCAAAACATGGAACCGATGATCAGATATCACTTTTAGCACCCTTCTCGTTTGATCGTGGCTTATAAGCCGACTGTTTGCACGTAACTTCTATGATCAATTGGTATAACTGATTATTCGTAAATAGAAATAGTTAAAATTAGAACAGTTATCTGATCATTTGTTTGTCTATTTTATTTTCTGTATGTTTTATTTGGTTCCCTTTTATCATTTTCCAATTTTGGTTCCATAGAAATAATCTGACTATTTTTTTTATTTTCTTTATGTTTTTATTTGGTTCTCCTTTTATATTTTACAATTTAGTTTACATAGAAATAATCTGACAATTTTTTTTGTTTGAGTCTGTCTACCCAACAACCATGTGTTTCAGCAAAAGATAGCACATGGTTGTTTGCTGGCTGTAAAACACATGATTTGTAATGGAGGAAAAACCATGTGTTTTAGCACAAGCTAGCACATGGTTGTTGGTTGCTTGCATAACACAAGATTTGCAACAGAGAAGAAACCATGTATTTTAGCACAAGCTAGCACACGTTTGTTGCCGGCCTCTAAAACAATAAATTTTTAAAGAACGCCTACGTAGAGGAAATCTGTTATAATTTCTGTGCAACCAAAGTTGACCCATTAACTAAAATGACAACCTTTTAGGCGACGTCTGTGGACCATCAGATCTGGATCCGATGACCAGATTCTGTTCTGGTTGTTTTTGTACGCAGGCAATATTAACGGGTCCACGAATCAAACCCGCCAAACCTTACCGGGCCCTCCAAAGCTTAACGGGCGGATAAACCGATACCTGTTAACTGAAGTTAGTGCTCGTTTGGGCCAAAAATGAACTATTGGCTCAGTAAACACACGTACAAGTTTATTGAAAAAATAATAACTCTGCCACTTCAGAAAGAAACTCTGCCACAAATCAAAATTAACTCAGAGCACCCAACTATTTCAGATGCTGCTAGATTTTGCACAATCTTTTATGCAAATTAAATGTAATGCATTATATCGATGAAATTACTACGAAACAAAATATTTACTCACACATAATGAGATGTTTTGGGTGAAAAAATGCACAATGATTATGATCTTCAAAAATTACAAAACAAGAACATGAAAATTGCATGTTTCAAATAGTGCAAATACTACATATTGTTAATGCAATTA